TCATGTGTAGAAAGAACATGTCCGGAACAAGTCTTCCAACAAAGAACTGAATTTCTCACGAACTTGTTATTTAAAAGTACTCTGCCGGGCTGTCATGTGATATATTAATGCCAGGCTGAGGACAACGAATGTCAAACAACTAAACAAATCAGTAATTTTGAAGTACTATTCAAACCCTAAATTTATTTATAAGCAAAAAGGAACAATGCAGTACTAAGTCAAGAAAAATGTAACTATCATCACTACAAAGCTAATACATATCTTCCTTTTTCGGAAGATACATGTCACTCTTTAGAAATTTTTAGTCTATATTAATAAAATTCTATTAAAATATTCTTGCATCTTAAGTAATCATGAAAGTGTCAGAAAATAACTAGAGAAAGCAAACTTATTAAAGACAAAGATAAACAAAGAAGAAAAATGGATAAGCATCATTTTCTATTTGCATAGTTCCTTTTAATCACTGAAAGAATAACTACATTTTATCATTTTTGCCCCATGAAAAACCTCCAAGTTATAAGAAAGAGTTATTATTATCCATAGTCGAAAGGTAAAGAAACGAAGCCATAATTTTATGTTCTATCTTGAATTATAAAAACAAACCAAATGCTTATCAATTGAGGAATGGATAAAAAAAGATGTGGCATTTTTATACAATGGAGTACTACTCAGTCATAAAGATAAACTGGAGATTTTTCCAGGTAAATGGATGCAACTAGAGACCACATTCATAAGTGAAATAAATCAGATTTGCATGTATAAGCATCGTATTGTCTCCCTAGTGTAAGAAACTGAAAGAGTAATATCCAAAAGGTACAATAGCTATTGTAAAAGGGAAAGAAACTGCTCAAAAGAAAAGAGCAACTGGGATGGGGGAAAGGAGAAAAGAAGGAACAAGGAAAATATATGTATATGTACATGCATATACAAACACATACACAAGACCGATAACTGTACTGTTCATTCTATTATTTCAATAAAAGCAACAGGTAGTGCTTATATTGTCTGATCAATGTTGCATTTCTATGTCTGATAATCTGAACAATTATTTTAAGGACAACAATATGCAATATAATAACCACTGTCATCTAGTTTTGAAATTCTGTAGTTTTTATTGTCTTTAAAATAAATACAAAAAATAAAAGTTAACAAAGCCAGAAATAAAAACCTCATTTTTATTAAAAAAATCAAATGATCAAGTTTGAAATGCAACTACCACCTATGACAGAGGAAATTAATCCGAGAAACCAATGAGATAGGAATAACACAGTAGTGTCTTGAAAAGATAGCATAACATTTAGGAATGATATCATAACCTCTGAAACCCCTCTTCCTAACCACAGAACTACTTGTAACAAACAATATGAGAAGAAAAGCGAAGACCTGGCCTTCCCTAGCACTTGAACCTGGAAAAGCAAAGTGATACAGCAAGGACTAAGCATCACAACCACCTGAGTTTCCAATCCTATGATGAGAGACTCCTACTGACAATTTAATAGGCACACTGTTATAAACTGCTGTTTTCATCTTTCCTCTTCTCTCTCATTCAAAATAAAGCAAGATCAGGTCATCAGAACTGCTAACCTCAGGAAGAGCAAGTAATTCTAGTAACTATACCCACTGTCATGTCTTCCTTTTCTGGCCTCCTCCTATTTATGTCTCTGGTTCCATGGCCACACTACTACTAACAATCCAGAGTACAGAACAGTGGTGGCAAAACAATGGCGTGTGTGCCACAGCAGGCTGTCTGTATTACTGAAAGCTCTAAAAGGTTCACCTTCACTGCTATTGAAAACATGGCAAAAGCAAATCAAATTCTGAGTCTAAAAATAAATTTGTCTATAAAGTCAGTTTCTAGCCACACAAAATATACAATATTGAAAATATTTTGGACTGTAGATAGTATTTGAGATAGAAGAAAGCAAAAGCTGATTTCTGATATTTTATCAACCAAAATTCTATTTTCTATAATCTCAATGCAGGTAATTACCTCCCAGAAATGGTGTTCAAAATAATGACCAAAACTTTTTTTAAAAAAATAATAATGACCAAAAGATGCTGCTAAATCCTAAGGTAACTTCAGAATTTCCCTAAGTTAAATTAAATTAGATTAAATGGGTTAGAGTATCGCTCAGTGATAAAATATATGCTTAGCATGTACAAGACTCTGGATTTGATTTCCAGCATCAAAAACAAAAACAAAAGCAACGGAAGTAGAGTATTTTATTATACTCTAATTCTCTGAATAATGGTAATCTCTGTGCTTCCTTAACTAATCAATATCCCATTCTTCCAATGTGATAGGTAAGAATTTTGTTAAACAATACAGCAATTACATTTTCTATTTGTTACTCTGTACTACTATTTTCCATGCACAATTAAATAATCATTCATTAAGATTAATTATCTGATATTCTAAGAATGTGTTTCAAAATGCATGCAGTGTTAAAGCACTCTCTTACAGCTTTCTTTTTGACTATTAGTTTTATAAACAACATTTAAAAATGATCTTATACTGGGTATAGTATGCACACTTGTAAGCTCAGCACTGGGGAAACTGATGTAGGATGACTATCATAAATTACAGGCCAGTGTAGACTGCATTATAAATTCAAGGCCAGCATGAACTACATAGTGAGACCCTGCTTCAAATAATAACCAAAGATTATACATAGTAAGAATATGAAGAATGAACAAATAAAGAAATAGATTTAACAAGAAAAAGTGACTCGTATACATCTAGATAAATAGAAACATCTGAGTTCTTTGCACAATCATTTCTCCAATCAGAAGAAAGAATAAAGGCAGATAATGAATTCTGTGTTACATTTAGAATAGTATTGGATGGTTAGAAAATATGACAAGGAAAAATACTTGATACCACGACAAACAATGGTTTTATTCTATATAGGAGATAATTCTGCCATTCCACGGAAGAAGTTCAAAAGATACACACTGAAATAATGTATCACACTCCAAGTCTTCATCTGTTGTGGGGTCCTACTTACAATAAAAGAGTTGAGAAAGGAAATAGAAATAGAATATGCATCTAAAGATTTTCTGTGTACTTGTTTCTGAAACGGTTCATAGCATTTTTAATAATTTAAGAATCAATTTGCAAATATCCAGTATCTAAAGTTTCTCAAAGGACAGCTATAACTGTGTTTTTAAAACTTTAACTCATCTGTATAAACTATCACAGAATTTTGTATTTTTCCACTCCAAATTGTGAGAATGATAACAATCTATATAGTCTTGAAAGAAATAATGGAAAATGAAAATGAACTTGGTATTCGATGCCTCAATATTACCAGTTATTTTTAAAGTTATGATACTTCAAAGATAGTTGTTACGAACACAAGTAAAATGTCAAATTAAAAAGAAAATTTTCTAAATGAGGTAACCTTACACGATATTTTATATATATATAGCCCAGAATGAGTATTTTTATTATGTTCTATAAGCATATACTAATAAATTTTTAAAATAAGAAAAAAAGAATAGTAAAATAGTGGTAGCTAAAAAAAAGCCTAAATGTTTTACTTATTATAATAGCTATATAAAAGCAGAGACAATGAAATCAGACTACTGTGTAATTTTGAGCAACTTAATCTGTTTGTGCCTTAGTTTTCTCATCTACAAATAGCTAGGAGTGGTGGTATAAGGACTGTAAGGCCAAGGTCCATCTAGACAAGCTAGCAAGACTCTATCTCAAGATAAAAATAAAAAGAGTTGTAGATGTGGCTCAGTGGTACAGTACTTACAAAAAGTAGGGGTGGGGAATGACACTTGACTGCCTTTCTTTGTGGGTTGCTTTACAAACTACAATACATATAAATAATTCAAAAAGGTCTAACACAAACACTGGGAAAACAGCAATTCTTATTCTAAAATTCAAAATAAATTACAGAATTCAGTATAGTTCGACCTCAAATACTAAAGGATTTGCACTAAATATTAACCAAAATGATGTTATCTCTACTAAAAATTCGTGGAAATTAACTGCAAATAAATGATAGACCAAATATTTTTCAAATTCACTGAGTTTGTTTACTTAAAATAACCACACTGGTAAGGTATCAGACAAACAAAAATATTGAATGACTTTATTATAATAGGAATCAAGCAAGAAAATATTGGAAAATAGCCACAAGTATGTACAAGTCTTCCTTTAAGTAGGTTCCTTACTTATGTTAACTCCAAATTATTAACCAACTTCTGACTTTCAACATTTTATTTTTTATTGCCCTTCTCAAGCAATCCTTTAAATACCCACTTCCCTAAGTTCTGTGCCTCTCTTGTGCCCTCCTTTACCTGTATCTATGCATATCCCGCTTATAAATACACCTTATTATACTGTAATTGTCTTAAGTGTCTATCTTTTCCTACTGAAGTTGAGCTTTCATTATCAGGAACTACGTCTTGTCTCTGCGTCTATCATGTCTAGCACAGGGCTTGTCACAAAACAAATGCTCAGCAAATATTAAGTGAACAAATTAATTTTTGTATTATGAAGTATTGATTTAAAAAGATGAAAATATTAATAAAATTGATGATTCTGAGAAAGGTCAACTTCCATGACGTTATAGCTAATCTTAAAAGGTGCTTTTAGACAAAACCTATTTTACTGTATGAAAATATATTTGATCTCTAGTAGCAAGTGTGTGTGTGTGTGTGTGTGTGCACACGATTTTAAGATCATATTTCAAGTCAACAATTTCTACAACTTTTAGTGCAATTTGGCAATAAAAGCAAAAATAATACAATGAACACTTTTATTTCCAAAACATAGCCTAAGACATAAAACATTAACAACAGTGTTCTATAGTAACTGCTTAACAGCTTAATCTGTTAGAGTCAAAACAAAGAAAAATGTATTTATTCATTTTTTGTAGTGTTAGGGATCAAATCCTTATGTATAGTAGTCAAACATTCTACCTGTAAGTCCTCAAAGGAAATTGGTGTGATAATTAAGTTTGCACTATTGTACTTTAACTCACTTTTCTGTTTTGAAGAATATTGCACAACCATCCACATGCTTTCTCTCCTGCTCAGACATGATTTTGGCACGTGATTTTGGAGAAAAAAATCCATCATATCCACGCTCCTTCAATGCTGGCAGAAAGAGAGTGAAGTATTGCTCTGTTTCCACTTCCTGAGATGAAAGAAAAGTTATCTATGTTACAGAAGTAAACATGGATTAAGACATAAAAATATTCAGCATTATGTGATTAAGTTAAAACAATTCATACAATAGATATTATCTATCTTACTTTATGGCTAGCAGCTGCCAATGGCAGCTTTTTAAACATAAAAGAACCAGAAAAGGGACATGATTTTCTCATGTCCACTCAGCTGGAGTAGAATTACATTCCAGGTCTTTTGTCTCCTGACATAGATTTCACTTCCTCAAGACTAGTAATTCAAATAAATTGAGCATACAATGGGTTAAGATAGTAGGAAATAATAAAATTCACATAGAAAGAAGTATTTTTCAAAAATCATTTTTTCTTCTGAATCACAGTTGACATGAATGACACCCAAACATAAAATCAACCCTCAAAAAATCTACTTCAAGGAATTTTTACGTTCCTAAATACCAATCACACAATGAGTCATTAAGTTTGACTACTCTTTGATCCTGTAAATATTTTTAACAAATCTTTCCATATGAAATATGAAGATAATGATTTATGTATAAAGATGCTCAGAACAGCATGATTTTATAGCACCATAAATCTATAAACGACTAAATGTCCAATAATAGGGAAAAGGCTAAATCAATATATATTCATAAAACTGGTTTTGAAGAATTTTAGTGACATGGAAAACGCAGTAACTGCAGTAAACACACAACAAAAATATGCCGAGTGTGCTCTCAAATTTATTTTGAAAATATATCCATAAATAAGTCAAAAAGTGAACAGAAAATGTGTACAAAAAAAACACTCCAAAGTTTTTAACACAGCAAGTATTTTTAGCACATGGGAATAGGCATTTTCCTCAATCATGTTTTAAATTTTGTCAAATTTTTCAACTTTTCTAAAATGAACAATTTATAATATAGTATTATTCACATAACAGAATTTTCTTAAATTATGATTTATTCTTAAAACTATACTTTAAAAAATGTGGAGCTTACTATAAATCAATCAAAACACGAAGTAATTAGGACAGCCTAATTTTATGTTTCTCTGGCAGTCTGTTTGTACCCAAAACAATAATTTTTGGAAGACTTTTTACTTTCTGTTATTTTTACAGGCAACAGAACTTACCAACATACCCTATTAGCAAATAAATATTTTAAAAAGTCATTTTTCTTCTCAGGACATGCTGAAAAGAGTGAAACAAAACAGAATTTTTAGGTCCTTTTAAGAAATGGTAAGTGAGGCAATGGGTACATTAACTGGCCTGATTTGATCATTCTACAAAGTACACATGCGCTGAAATATAACATTATGTATTATATATATACACACGGTAACTATTTTTTAATTCAGATTTTAAAAGCATCTTTAGGCACTTAATATGCTTTGAAAGTTGCTAAGAAAAAATTATTTAAAACTATCATAAAACTTTTTTGCCAAATATTGAAGCAATAAAACACATTTCATAAAACTTTTTATTTCTTCTTCAGTTAACTTCATTATTATAATGTATTATTAAACAGAAGACTGTGATATCTCCCACTTTCCAATTCCAGGTTACAAAATTTCTATTACTGGGCCCTTTAAGAGGCCCTTCATCAGTGGTGTACTTCCTAGCAGACATGAGCCCTTCTTGATGGAATCAAGACTGTTATTTTTTCAATATTCTGAAGAGTCCAACATATATTACAAATCTGCCTAAAATAAAACTGCATGAACCAATCAATCAAGAGGAAAAAAAAGTTGAAATTTAAGAGATGGCTTATAAAGTAAAGCAAAACTGTGTATTTATTTTTTCTTTGTTCATCTTTCCTTTTTCAGTGCTGGAGATTGAATCCACATATGGCATGCATTTTTCCTCCTCTTGGACTCTTAATTTATATTCCTATAAAACTAGAAATCTTCTGCAGTTTCTTCTTTCATCAGTATCAATGATTTGTTCATAAGATGAAATGTTAACATGGATAATGGATAAAATAATTATAACTTTGGAAAACAATGAATGTAAATGCATGGCTGCTGCAACAAAATAGTTTCACTGTGGAAATCTCAATGCTTATTAGAATTGTCTTTTTTATTGAGAGAGAGACAGAGAGTGAGGGAGGGAGACAAAAGAGAGAGTGAGTGTAAGGGAGGGAGGAGAGAGGGAGAGAGGGAGGGGGAGAGGGAGAGGGAGAGGGAGAGGGAGAGAGAGAGAGAGAGAGAGAGAGAGAGAGCGCGAGAGAGAGCGCGAGAGCAAGAGCGAGAGCGTGAGCGCACGAGTGAGCCTACTGAAGATTTACCTCAGTCTGGCAAGCACGAGGTGAGTTCAATATTGGGCACCAAAAAGAAAAGGACAGAAAAAAATTCCTTTTGAGTTTTTTAAAAATATAGGCCTCTGACAGAAGTTAAAACCTTCTATTATTTTTAAATTCACCTTTATATTAAAGACAATTTAATTTCTATAGTGTTACCTGAAGACTAATGATATCTGCATCACAGTTAACAATTTCTTCCATAATTCCCTTTTTCCTGTATTCCCAGTTTAGTGCCCAGGATGGGCAATAGCCATATAGCTGCCGGGTAGCATATTTATCGCATAACACATTGTAACACATAACCGTGAATGATGCTAAGAAGTGGGGAAGAAAACAACAGACAAAAGGGAAAAATTAGGCAACTTTTTCTAAAGCAATTGTTATGTGTACACCAGTACAAGGACACATACAAATTCTACACAGTTACTGTAAGATTTTGGAAGATACAGCTACTAAAACTTTACTGAAATTGAAATTCATACAAAAACATAATAGTCTAGAATTAGATTATTCATATTTGCGATTTGAGAACATTTGTATTAACAAATTTAAAAATTCAAAATTAAATGAGTACTAATGTTTTATATATTATTAGTATAGTTTTTTTATAAAAGTAGAATAAAAAGTAAATTTTGGTCTCATTCTAATGAAAGAGCTCTGATTTATTTATCAAAATACCCATCAGTACTACTTTTGAGGGGCCTTTAATGCTCTGAGCCATAAGAAATTAACAAATTTTATTGAAAATGAATCCTTTTGCCAAATGTTCACTTCTAAAATAAAATTCTCAGCCAAGTGTGGTAATACACTCTTGTAATTCCAGCACTTGAGAAGCTGAGTCAGGAGGATCACTTTAAGCTGCAGGCCAGCCTAAGCTACATAGTGAGTTTAAGGTCTGTCTGTACTATACAGCTAGACACTGCCTCAAAAAAATAAAAAAGTATAGTCTTAGGCCCAGCACCATCACACATCTCCTGGGAACTTAGAAATGCAGAATCTCTAACCGCATAAACACCTAGCTATGTAGTCCTGGCTGGCCTTGAACTCACTATGGAGCCCAGAGTGATCTCAAACTCACAGGGATCCTCCTGCCTCAGTCTTCTGAGTGCTGGGATTACAAGTGTGGACTACCATAACACACTGCCACTTGTATCAGGCCAATACTGTGATCCTAGAGCATCACAGTTCTAAAATTATTTATTACTTCTGGTAGACATAAAACTGTACTATCTATTTCTGAGTTATTAAAATACAAACAGAAACATGAAGAGGTTACAAGAGATTATAGTTCCCAATACAATGACAAATGTTTTGTCCCAAAATCAAAAACAAAGACAAAAATGGAAGAGCTTTATATTGTAGAAAAAGTACACAATAAATTTAGTGACTTAACTTTTAAAGGTTATTAAAGGAGAAATGTTTAATGACTGATGTAACCTTCTATTGAAACAGTTTAAGTTTTACTTAACTTTAAAATGAAAATTATTTTAAGTAGAATTCCCAAGTCTAAAATATCTACTACAGTAAGAAGCACCATAAATATCAGACTAGTCTCTACAAAAACAAAGGTTTTCTACATTATTACTGCTCTAGACATGAGATTATATCCTTAATTACTCAGCTTGTTCATTTCTAAAACCTTAAAATGGAATATTTTGTTGCCATGACCATTAACTTAACCTATCATTAACTGTTACCAGTCCATCTCTGAAGAAAAATAAAAGTACCATAGTTGAATTTTTCATTTCAGAATAAAATTCATTATTACTCAGTTTTGTTAAATCACCCAGTAGCACATGGAAAGATGTCAAATGGAAAGCTCTGTAACAATCAATAATTTTTTTGGTTGGTTTTTAATTTGAGACAAGGTCTCAATATGTAAAGTTCAAGCTGACTCTGAACTCATTATATTATCCCTGGCTGGCCTCAAATTCACAATTCTCCTGCCTCAGCCTCTAGATCGCTGGAATTACAGACATGCACCAACATACCAAGCCCTGAAATGAATAATTTTAAAAACCAAGAGGTGCATTATTGTGAAGTATACAAAATAGTTGTACATCTCACTACCAAAAGGTTAATTTTGTAAAACTATCCATCAATATTTCTAAACTCACCTATAAACCATAAAAAGTAAAATGAAGGTCTACTATAGATCAAGGACCCAAAATCACATTTTAATGTAAATCTGAGAACACAAGAAAATATGGAAAAAAAACTACCTGATGGCAGAATTTGGTCTCGTTCTTTTAATGTAATCCATGGCCTCGGAGGAAGCTGCTCTGGATGAACTGAAAAAAATTTTGTAAACATGAGTTAATTTCATGTATTTCAAAAAATCAGTATCATTTAGTTTATAATGTGAAATCAACTTTTTTTTATTCATCTACAGTGCCGCACAAACTGATATGAAATCCAATTTTGATGTTTAGTATACATTTAGAAACCAAAGGACAGTTGAGAAAGTTATGTAGAAAAGATAACTCAGAAAAGAACATTAAGAAACTCATTAATGCTATTTTTATTTTAATGGTATTTATGAAAAGTAAAATCTTATGTCTCGGTTACATATGTAAATTGTGTTGACCCAGCATTCGTAAATCAAAGCTATGTGCAATGACAATATGCTAATTAGAACATGCAAACATCTGTAAAATGGAAATACATATATGAATATGTAATAAAAATTACTGAAACTTCTAATAGCGCTTTCATTTTAGGCTCTTTCTCTTTTTATTATGTCAATGCAAAGCAAGAGAGAAAAACTGAGCTATATAGAAAAAAGGAATTGGTTAAATATTAATTGTTCAGACATGATTATTAATACCAGGGAACTAAATTACCAGATGAAAGAAAATTCATTAAGTTATGATTTAACCACCTCCTTTTCTCCTTCCTTTTAAAACTTTACACAACAGAACAACAACATTCACTGTTTACACATTTGCCCATGGTATTAGTGGCTGAGTAATGTTTGTTTACAATAAAATCATTCCCTCTTTATCCAACTCAGTAAAGTTTCACCAAAGTAACCCACAACAATTTTGGTGCTCCAAAAGGCTATTGAAACAATCACTTTTTGCTGAGTGCAATGAACATTATTCTGTATAATCCACATCTTCCCAGGGAAAAAAAATGAAAGTTATCTTAAAATGATGAATCACTTAGTTGGTTCAACACATGTAATCCTGGAAAATAATCATGCCTCCTAGAAGTGTCTGAATAATAAATTTATGGCAACTGCCTCAAAAATGGAAATACGGGCTAGAGGAACATGGACTTACACAGCTCTGGGCTGTCCCCATGCCAGAAGCATGTGTAGAAAGTCAGTCCACAGCACCTCCACCCTACCTTATCCTGCAACAAGTAGCAGTGGCAGAAGCAGTGACTCAGCAAGGCTATCAACCACAGCAAAAGTGATGGTGACAGCAGAGGCACCAATGAAAACAGAGTGGAACAGTACAACCCCTCCCATACTAGTACCAACTGATTGAAGGATGCAGGACTTAAGCGGCAATACACCATGAACAGCAATGAGTAGGAGGTTAGCACTACCTTCTCAAGAGAAAAAATAAAATTGGGACTGAGCAGCCTCAGATGGCAGCTGTGGGAGCAGAGGATCAGCCCACAGCCTGGCACCCAAATACACCCTGCAACGTGACCCAAGAGGACAGAAATGTGCCAGGCAAAGAGAAGCACAGGAGGTTGTTCAAGGACCAGGAGACAACTATACACTGGACTGGAAGCAGCACCAGACTGTCTAAAAGCAACTAGGAGAGAGACTCAAAGACAGATAAGGTAAGGAGTGGGCAAGTCACTAAGAAACAGTACTTGCTTAAGACTCTAGCCCCAGCCCCTCACATCTAGAATCCAAGATCAGCCCCACATCTAGCACTAATTCTACTACAGACTTGGCGGGGTTACCCAGTAGTTTTGGGCTCTCTATGAATACAAACTATTTTATTCCTTATTATATTTTTCTTTTTGCTTTTCTTTTCTTTTCTTTCTTTTTTTTTTTTTTTTTTTTTTTTTGCTGGTTTGTTTCATTTTCCTTCCTTTTTTAATCTAATTTTTATTCTATTTTTCTTCTTTCTCCCTTTAATCAATTATCTCTCTTGATTTACTATTTTCATGTGAATGAACATTGTCTCTGTCTTTATAGTTAGTTTTGATACCCTTTGCTTACTCTTCGTTCTTCCTCTTCTGCCCTCTTCTGATTTCTGTGATCATCCTTTGTCCTCCAGCCTTGCTTCTACTATATTATATCCACTATCCCTCTTAAATTTCCCTGCTACAGGGTAAACCACTTTACAAAGAGGAAATGCTTTGCAAATAAGCTCCCAACTTATATGGGTTTTGTCATATAACTGTATATCTGGCTTCTATGATTAAAGGTATCAAATTAATAATTACCACATTGTCAGTTTCCAAGCTCTACTTGATGCTATTTTATTGTTAACTGTACCAAATCAGCTGGTAAGCCATACATAGGTGTTATAATCACTTGTTCTCCCTTGTTGTAACAACACTTGGAGTGTCTGAGGTAATAACTATCACCACAGTCTAGTACCAAAGGACTGGGACTGAGCCAAAAACATACCAACATCTACCCTTAATAAACTAGGAAGAAAGGCTCTTGAGACAGACACAAAAACAAGAATCTTGCTTTTGAGCCTCTCTTCCCAGAATCTTCTATACCTAGAAGAAAGCCCTGAAGAGCAGACATTTCCTAGGAAAGCCTCAATATTAGTAATGAAGCTAACTAAAATTTTAAAAATTGCAATTATCAACACAAAAAATAAAATTTAAAAAAACTAGAAAATGACAAGACACAGAAGCAAAATGCAACCCCAGACCCTCTAGGCCAGCCATAACAAGTCTAGCAGACAAGACTGAGGAAAATGGAAATCATACCTGAAATTTCTAAAATGATAGCAACAGAAATAAAGAAATTCATGATGCAATAGAGGAAATCAGATCAGAAATACTCCTATTTAAAAGAAAAAGACTTAACAACCATAATGAAAGACTTGTTCAACATACCAAGAGCAGAAAGATTACAAAAAATAGAGGAACCTAAGGAAATGACAGAAATCATGAATGCCCAACATAGCAAAGAAATGAAATCTATGAAACAGTTTCATGAAGATATCCAAGAAATAAAAAACTCCACTTAAAAGTTTGCAAAACTGAGTGAATAAAAGTGAAGAAAGAATATCAGACCTAGAAAACAAGACTACAGCTAACAATCATAAAAGCAAAGAGCTCTTAAAAATAACAAAGGACAAGGAAAAGGCAATTTAACAGCTATAAAATGATATAAAGAAAAACTATAAGTTGACTGGCCTCAGTAAAAAAACAGGACTCAGCACAAATGATATAAAATGACTGCTGGCAGAAGTAATCAGAGAAAAATTTCTAAGTATGAAAAAGAATTTGACATACAGAGAAAGGAAAAAAACATACAGAACCCCAATTAGCAATGACCAAAATAATTCTACACCAAGGCAAATAATAATCAAGAACTCATAAACTCAACACAAGAACAATATACTAAAAACTGTTAGAGAAAATAAATAGATCCAATCACCTGTAAAAGAAGACCCATCAGAATCACAGCAGACTTCACAAAACAAACACTCAAGAAGAGCTTGGGAAAAAAAAAACAACTTCGAACACACATGGTATCCTGCAAAACTATCTGCCAAATTAATGGAGAAACCACACACTTCCAATGAAAAAACTGAAGAAATTCATGATCACCAAACTAGCCCTACAAAATGTACTGAAGCATATAGTAAAACTAAAAGTGATCGCAATTCCACGAAAAACAGCAACAAAAAAAAAAAACCTCACCATGCAGGGCACTAAACAGAAAGGAAAGACAAGGAACCTACTGGCAGGAAAATAGCATCAGTATAAGTCACTACATCTCAGTTATAACCATCAATGTAAATGGTCTTAATTCACCATCAAAAGAAACAGACTGGCAGAATGGATCAGAATCAACATCCACCAGTCTGCTGTACAAAAGAAACAATTTAACTCAAAAAGAAATTCAAAAACTGAAAGACAAAGGATAAAAAACAATATTCCATGCCAAAGGAACCCAGAAAAGGGAAGGGGTAGCTATTCTATTTGCACACAATGTGAACTTCAAATCCACAATGATCAAGAGAGATAAAGAAAGTCACTACATACTTGTTAAGGAACATTTAAAGGGATAACAATCATGAATATATATTCACCAAATACAGAACACTCAACTATATAAAACAAATATTAATGGACTTGAAAATTCAAATAAGCACTGGCACAATTTTAATGGGGGACCTTAATATCCCACTGTCACAAATAGATCAACTAGACCAAAAAAAAAAAAAATCGGAACTGAACCAAACCTGTGAACAAATGGACTTAGGTATTTACAGAGTTCCACCCAACAACATCAGAATACACATTCTTCTCAGCTACAGATGGGACATTCTCCAAAACAGACCATATACTAGCCCAGAGAACATGTTTAGGTAAATGCACAGGAAATGAAATAACCTTATGCATATTATCTGATCAGAGTGCAATGAAACTGGAAATCAGTGGCAAAAGAAACCATAAAAACTCCGTAAACATACAGAAGTTAAATAGCACCCTTATGAACAACCAACAGGTCATGGATAAAATTAAAGAAGTTAGATAATATATGCAATTAAATGACAAATGCTGACACAACATACTGGAACTTATGGGACACAATGAAAGCAGTCCTAAGAGGGAAATTTATAGTGGTGAACTCTCATAATAGGAAAACACAACAAAGTAAAATAAACAACATAATAGGGCACCTCATGATTCTAGAAAAAGAACAAGTCAAGCCCAAATTCCATATAAAGGAGGAAATTACAAAGATCAGAGCAAAAATTAAAACAATTGAAATGAAGAAAACAACAAAAGAGTTGGTTCTTTGAAAGATTAAATAAAATTGACAAACTATTAGCCAACCTTATTTTTAAAATAAGGAAACAAAACTCAAATCCAGACAATTACAAATGAAAGGGTGAAACCACAATAAATCCTGTTGAAATCCAATCATCAATATCTACTTTGAGAATCTTTAATAAAATGGAAAACACAGAAAATACAGATTCCTAGAAACATATAAAATACCAAAGTTGAATGCAGAAGATATAAAAATTCTAAATGGTCCAATATCAGTTAAGGAAATTGAAAATTAATTAAAAAAACTATCTGTTCCACTGAGTCTTGGGTCTGTTTCTTTCTTTCTTTTGTTTTT